GTGGGATTTATTTGGGAGCTGGACCCCGCCAAAATTTCTAAAGAGTAAATGGTACAAAGCAACTGACAACATCCCTGGGGACAGGGAGGGAATTGAATAGATTTCAGGGGTAGACTTGGAGCCTGTGGTGATGAGAAAAGGAGGAATTAGATAGGGGAGTGGAGGGAGAGAATACTGGGAGAAATGATTGAAAATGGGGATGGGCATTTTGGAAATGAGTTAGAAACCTAGTCCAATGGAAACTCTCAGGAATCCATGAGGGTGCCCCTAGAGAAGACTCCTAGTAATGGTGAAATGGAACCTGAACTAGACATCTTCTAAAACCAGGAAAGGCATCCAGTGGACAGACTGGGACACCAACCCAGACACAAAACATTCGACCTACAATTAGTTCTGTCTGCAAGATGTGCTGGAATAAAGGTGGTACAGAACTTGTAGGAGCAGCCAACTAATGACTGATCCAAATTGAGACCCATGCCTGACACTGCCTGGAGGGCCTGAAACCAGAGTCTAGATACCAGAGGCCAAAGATAGGAACCAAATACAATAGGGGCATGAGGGAGAAAGAGTCAATGAAATGTTTCCTAATGTTACTCTGCTATCCTTGTAGACCACCACCAGAGAGGCTTCATCCAGCAACTGATGGAAGCAGATGGAGGTTTCCCCAAGCTCCACCTAATTATTGATTCTGGGTCTCTCCATCTGCTTCCAACAGATTTAAGCAATTTCTGTCCACCAATCCAGCTCTCCAGAGACTATTAGAAGAAATAATTCAGTCTGAAGAGATTAACTACACCTCAAAGAATACACAGAATAAACAATCCCAGAACAGTTAACCCAAAGAGGTCTCAAACAAAGCAACAGAATAGAAATTAACAAACACTGCTGAATAATAACTCTCAATGCTAATAGTCTCAATTTCCTAATTTAAAAAAATGAAACACACACACAGACACACACACAAGCAAAGACTAGCATAATGGATTAGAAACAGAATCCATCTTTCTGCTGCTTCCAAGAAACACATCTAACTATCAAGAACAAAAACTATCCTAAGGTAGTATCCAAGTAGAGAAAACCAAGAAGCAAGCAACATAGCTTTCAAATAAAACTAAATCAGAAGACATAGGAAATTTTTACCAAAAATATTACAATTCAAAACATTTATTCACAAATATCCACCTTAAAAAACAAACACTACTTACTATATCTCAAACAACACTTTGATGCTAACACAGTAAGAGTGCATGACTTCAATACTTCACTCTCACCAAAAGACAGATCATCCAGGCATTAAAAGAAACTGGCATTAAATAATTATCATAAATCAAATGGATCTTAAGACATTTACAGAATATTATACCCAAACACTAATGAAGAAATGTACTTTCTTCTCAGCAGTTCATGAAAATTTCTCCAAAACTGACCACATCCTAGGGCACAAAGCCAGACTCAACACAGGAAAATTGAAAATTATATCCTGCATCCTATCTGACAACAACAGAAACAACAAAGTATGCAGACTCATGGAAACAAAACAACTCCCTACTGAATGAAAATTCAGTCAAGACCATAATCAAGAAACAAAATTAAGAACTTTCTAGAATGGAATAAAAATAAACAGAACATACTAACAGCTATGGGACACTACCAGTAAAGAGAGTTTTAAGATAAGTTCATACCACTAAACTTCTCCATAAAACAACTGGGATGATCTCATATAGTAACTTAACATACATGAAAAAGCTCTAGAAAACTAAAAAAATCCAAAAAGAATAGAATAAATAATCACAGAGTTAAATTTAATTAAATAGAAATAATAACAACAAAATATAAACAATCAATGAAACCAATAGTTGGTTACCTTAAAACAACAAGATTGACAGAACCTTTATCCAAAGTAACCAAAAGAGAAAAGAGAGGCATTACAACAGATGCCATGGAATTTCAAAGAACCCAAAAGGCATAGCTTAAAAATCTGTATTCCAGCAACTAAAAACCGTAGGAAATGGTTGAATTTATTGATATGTGATCTATGAAAGTTAAATCAAGGTCAAATAACCAGTTTAAACAGACCCCTAACCCCAAATGAAAGAGAATCAGTAATTAAAAGTCTTGATCGGGGAAATGGACAAGATATCCTGAGTAAACTGGGAGCATGGGGAGAATGGGAAAGGAGGTAAGAGAAAGGGGGAGAGAAGCAGAGGGAGGAGAAGAACATGAAGGATCAGGAGGTTCTATCTGGGGGAAGAATAGAGAAGGAAAGCAAGGAAAGAGATACCTTGATAGAGGGAGCCATTATGGGTTTAACTAGAAACCTGGTACTAGGGGAAATTCCCAGGAATCCACAAGGATGACCCCAACTAAAAATCTAAGCAATAGTGTAGAGGCTACCTTAAATGCCCTTCCCCTATGAGATTGATGACTACCTTAAATACCATCATAGAGCCTTCATCCAGTAGCTGATTGAAGCAGAAGCAGAGATTCACAGCTAAGCACTGAGCTGAACTCCTGGAATGCAGTGGTGAGCAAAGGAGTCAAGACCATGCAGGGCAAACCCACAAAAACAGTCAACCTGAGCAAGTGGGAGCTCATGGACTCCAGACTGACAGCTGGGGAACCTGCATAAGATCGAACCAGGACTCCTGAATGTGGGCGTCAGTTAGGGGGTTTGGGCAGTCTGTGGGGCTTCTATTAGAGGAGTCAGTATTTATAGCTAGTGCAAGAATTGGCTTTTGGAGCCCATTCCATATGAGGGATACTCTCTCAGTCTAGACACAGGGGGCAGGGCCTCAGTCATGCCCCCAAATAATGTGACAAGATTTTTATGGCCCCCATGGGAGGCCTCATCCTCTCTGAGGAGTGGATGCTGGATGGAATAGAGAGATGGTGGGGGGAGTGGGAAGACAGGAGGGAGAGGAAATTGGGACTGGTATGTAAAATAAGATTGTTTTTAATTTAAATAAAAAAATTTTAAAAAAATATTGAAAAAACTCGGTCCCAGATGAATTGCACACAGAATTCTATGAGACCTTTCAAGAAGAATTAACACAAATATTCTTCAAATAATTCTGTAAAGCAGAAACTGAAGGAACATTTTATAATTATTTTTTATGAAGCCATTATTATTCTGATACCAAAAGCCAGACAAAGAACCAACAAAAGTAGAAAATTATGGACCAATATCTCTTATGACCATGAGAGCAAAATTTTTCAATAAAATACTTGCAAACCATATTCAAGAACGCATTAAAAAAGATTATCCAACACAATCAAGTTGACTTCAGTTTAGAGATATAATGATAGTTCAACATACATAAATCAATAATATACTACATAAACAGACTGAAAGACAAAACTCACATGATCATCTTATTAGATACTTAAAAGGCCTTTGATAAAATCTAACATCCCTTCTTGATTAAAAAGTCCTGAAGGGATACAAGGGACATACCTCAACACATAACAAAGCAGTTGACAGCAAGCCTTCAGCCAACATCAATCTAAAAGAGAAGTAACTCAAAGCATTTCCACTAGAGTCAGGAACCAGACAAGGATGTCCACTCTCTCCAATCCATATGTACTCAGTAGAGTACTTGAAATCTCAACTAGAGCAATAAGACAACTGAGGTATCTTTATTTGCAGATAATATGATTTTACACATAAAAGACCTTAAAAACTCTACCTGGAAACTTCTACAGTTGATACACTTTCAGCAAAGTATCAGGATACAAAATTAATATTAGATTTGGCAGTAATTTCTTGGATATGACATCGAAGGATAGGTACCAATGGAGAAACAGACAAACTAGACTTGATTAAAATTAAACTAAAAATTTGTACATCAAAAGATGCTTTCATTTTTAAAAATGTTTTCTTACATCTATTAATTTTATTTGGGTGGACACATGTGCAATCATGCATGTAGAGGTCAGAGGACACTTGCAGGAGTTGATTCTTTCCTTCAACCATGTGGATCCTGGGGATTGAATTAGATCATAAAGCTTGTGGGGCAGTGGTGGTACACCCCTTTAATCCCAGCACCTGGGAGGCAGAGGCAGGCAGATCTCTATCAGTTCGAGGCCAATCTGGTCTTATAGAGCAAGTTCCAGGCATCCTGCCACTCCCAACACAGAGAAACCCTGTCTCAAATCAATCTACATTAGGTAGATAGATTAGATAGATAGATTAGATAGATGATAGATAGATAGATAGATAGATAGATAGATAGATAGATAGATAGATAGATAGATAAATAACAGATGATGGTGTTTTCACCTGCTGAGTCACCTGGGTGACCCTCAAAAAATGTTTTCAAGAGAGTAAAAAAGCCATTCGTAGAATAAGGACTTCAATAAATACCCAACCTGAATCAAAAATAGGTAAATGACTGTATTTCTCCAAAGAAGATAAATATCCAATAAGTACATTATGCAAATAGTATCACTAATTAGGGAGTGAATATCATTCATCATTACAGAAAACCAAATACAGAACACAATAACATATCATCACATATTCATTCCAATAGAAAGTACAAAAAAAACAAAAGTAACAAAACCTAATCAGACAACAAAGTACAAATGCGGAGAAACTACACTCAATATACACTGTTATTAGGACTGGAACATGATACAGAAAAGCAATACTGTGATTCTTTTAAAAATTAAAAACTGAAATGTATATGATCCAACAATTTTACTTTTGGCATATATACCCAAAATAACTGAAGGTTTGTTTGTTACATTCATAATCACAGTAGTATTACAGTAGCTAAAATGTGGAAGCAACCCATGTATATGCTGACTGATAAGATTGTTTTCTTTCCACATGTGCTACCCTCGTAGTCAGTTCACAAATTATTTTCTGACATGAGCTGTTTAGGAGAGTTTACCTTGGTACATACCACTGAGAATGTTCTTGCCATATCTCCTGGAAAATTCAACAGTGTGTTAATGTTGTGATTCTTACGTAGTTTCCAAAATTAGCTGGAGCTTACCTACTCTTTTCCCTGCTGCTGCATTATTTCCACTCATTCCAATACCACGAGCAGACTACAATTAAAACACAAAACACCTACAGAGGTGAGTCAATGCAGAATAGATCAATCATCAAATATTTGTATTCTATTACTAAAATGCTGGTGGGCATGCATTGTAAATTATTCTATCTTTTGTTTAAATTAACTTGGAATCTAATCTTGCTTCTTGTGCTTATTTTTTAATCCTTAAGCAAGTAAAACTTGATGGCTTAGGTAAGTCTTGATACTGGAAAAAGCCTTAATGAAACTATGTATTACTGAAAACTACAGAATAACAATGAACATAGCAGTAATGCCTGTAATTTCAGCACTTAGGAGCTGGAAGCAGGATCTGAATAAAAGAAAATCCCCCTGGGCTACGTGAGAAACCTGTCTCAAAAAAAAAAAAAAAAGAATCAAGAAGCAATCATCAAGTAGAATTCCTACAAATTAGAAAAGTATTTTAGTGAAATGTATGGGAAAACAATTTAATTGTAGGTATTTTTATCTAAATAAAAGCCTAAATTTGAAACAATCATTTACTACAAGACTAGCTGTAAAAAATCAACTGAAACGAAAATACTTACTAGAAAAAATTCTGTAGGTTCTGACTGGGGAGAATTTTTCCTAATGTTTTCATCCTGAAAGTGCTGGAAGTTTGTAGATAACCCAATTCCAGAGGGTCGGAGCCTGCCTGCCCCACGTGTGCTCTGCAAACTGTCTCTGCTTGCACTCCGTGCGAGTGAAGCCAAAAAGCCATTGTTATTTACACAACCAACAGGCTCTTTGGAAGCTTTGTTAGCCATTTCTGTGATATCTCGAGCTTCAACTTTGGAAATAACATCAGATCTTTTCCCAGGGGAATCGACTTTAACACCACGGAAGCGAGCAGTCCTAGAGAAAGAAGTATCGGCTTTGGTTCGAATGTCCAATTCCCGCAGGGCATTCTGTGAAGCAGACGCTGAGGGGTTGCCAGACTCAAAACATTTTGACTGTCTCTGTGGCTTCACCAGAGAATTGTGTAGTGACATTGGTGCAGCACAGAGAAGTGGCGACAGGAGTCTGTTCTTGTGAGAGCTCGACTCTCGGTGGTTAAGAATTGCATTGTCTACTGGGTCACTATTCAACACTCTGGCCACGTGGTTCAGGGGCTGCTCTGCTGCTCTCCGCCCTCTATCACCTTTAGAGAGTGGGAACTCTGGCGTTACCTTCCCTATGCCTTCTACACCACTGTTCTGCTCAACACCATTTCCTTCTGCAAATGGAGCAAAAGGACCTACTTCCGGCAGCAGCAACTCTTCAGATACACATTCTTCTGATGGTGGAAATAAGACATCATCCTCATTACTCAATGGCAAGTTCCCTGAAAGGAGTTTTGTCCGCCTAGGCAGAGATGGTCCAAGATGAAGTACGGAGTCTGCAAGCTCTTTGTCATTTTCCAGTTCTATGTGGGCCATCTGAGGTAGCAGTCTGATGCTACCCGTAGGATGAGACAGTGTGTTAATCTCCCAATTATCATCCTCCTTCAGCAGTTCATTCCTGAGAGATGACACTGGTCTATCCGCAGGGGCCTGAGCTGCTGAAGAACTTGTGTCTGCATTCCTGGATGTTTCAGGGAGATAAGCATTCCCTGGAGAAGGTAAACAAGACTGCCCGATGTGAGGCAGGACTCTTAACAGTCTGTGCCGGGCTATTGCTGCTGAACTGCTGGGAGGTCGAGGAGCTACAGGTGGACGAGGTTTTACCTTGACAACTTTCTTAGGCTACAAGAAAAGAGTGCACATGTAATTCCTCAACATCGTTATTTCTGTCTTTCAGCAAGAATCAGTGGAGAAAATGTTACTTACCATATTGGCATTTTTGTTACCTCAATTTACAGTGTTCAAAAAGGCTGGGTGTGGAGCCCCACACCTATCGTACTAGCACTTGGGAGGCTGAAGCAGGGTGTCTGCCATGAGTTTGAGGCCAGCCTGGATGACAGAGTCCACGCCATGCCAGCCTAGGCCACAAGATGAGTCAGTCGTCTTCTCAATACAAACAATGAAATGCTTTAAAATATTAGAATCTTAAGATTATGATTGAGAAGGACTTGTTATATCACTTTATTGACCATAATTTTCTGAAGATGTTAAAGGAGAATTAATTTTGTTTTATTTCCTCATGATTAATTCTTTCTTGGGCTTTTACTAAGAAGAAACTGTAGATTTTATTATATATGGCTAAGATGACTGTGTATAGGTGGGAACTCAGAGATAAAGCTAACAGGACTAAACTGCTGACCTGGAAAAAAACTGTCCCTCTGTTGCTTTCTGTGTACATTTCAGGAAAGGTTCCTACCCTAACCCATCACAGTGGCTAGGCCTCAACTGCTTGTGCAAAGGTTTGTAATGAACACCTGCTTTTCTTCTGAGTCTTAAATGTACAGATACATAGCAGGGAAAGGGTACAACATAGGAATAAGCCTAAAAACAGAAAAAAAACAAAACAAGAAGTTCTTGTGCAGAGCTGCTAATGGAATACCTTGAGATGAGATTTCATTTGTTGTCACAACTCCCTGAGAGAGAAATCAAGCCTATCTTAAGATTACTTTCGGGGAGGCCTCTCTGATGTCTGTGCCTGCTTCACTTGGACTTTGATCCATATGCTTCTCCCTCTGTTAATTTTACTTTTGTTTCCTTTTGCTGTGTACATGTCTTAGCCAAAGTGCAAGTGTATGCTATATCCATGAGGCTAGGACAGGACCTGCCTGCCACTCCCAACACAGAAAGTTTACACAGCAGTTATCACTGAAAGAGTGAAGTTGAGAGCTCAGGAGAACAGCCTTGGCCCTTGAGCACAGGGATGGTCAGCAGACACAGGATGACATTCCAATAGCTTGGCCCATAGAAACACATACTGAAAATTCAGTAGGTACCAGTAGAGAAAAGGAGACCTAGCTAGGAAGGCCTGATAGATGGGAGTCCCTTGCAAAGGGGAGCCAGCTCTTATAGCCACTTTTATGTTGAAGTCTTTATCTCGCCAATGTCCAGCTATATATTTACCAAAAGATAAATTTTCAAAAATGGAGATTGTTTTCTAGACCTTAGAAATCAACAATAGTTGCCAAAACCTAAATAGCAACATGTATGTTCCCAAATAAATAAATACACAGACATTCAAAGTGATAAACAATACATGCAAATAAAATTACCCATGACACAAATCATCAGCAAACGGAGAGACAGAGAATACGACCTTCAAATTAGTCATAAGGTTGAAAACAATCAAATGTAGGAGGCTCATATGCAAAGCTTAGGCCTATGGTGACAAGCAAGAATGTAGAGTTTCAAGAAGAAAAAAGAGAGGTAGACAGCTAAGAGTTAGTCAAACAAAAATAAAATATACTCATAAGAGAGAAAATCCCACCTGTGTAAATACCAAGACAGAGTGTAATATCGGTGATATCAAAATGGGCTAATAAAGGCCCAAAGGGAACAAGCTCAAGTTGTTGGGATCTATGCTAATGGTAGATGGAGTTTTAAGGAGGTTCTACTGTGCAGAGAGAGTATAGAGAAAAAATAGAAATAACAGAATGAGAAGACCCACCTATTCTTCCCTGTGATGGGAGTGTCAGTGATTAAAAAACACAAAAAGAGTGCTCTTTAAATCAATTACCTCCCTACATAATATCCTTGCTTTATGTATTAACCTACAAAACTTTTAATAGTTACCTAAATAAATTTATAAGAAAAAAGAACATAAACAGGGGCAACAAATCCATATTAGAATAAAGCAGAAAGTGAGAATCAGAACATTTTAGCACACACAAATTCTCTCCTAACATTACATAGCAAAATATAACTTCACCACAATACTCCAACCTAAAGAAAATACTTTTAAATTAGTACTAGCATTTATGTGTGTGGTGTATGTATGTAGGTACGAATGCAGGGACATGTATGTGCATGCATGTGGGGGTCAGAGGTTGATATAGGTGTCTTCTTGAGTCACTGCCTTCCTTATTCTTTGTGACAGGGTCTCTTTCTGAAGCTGGAGCTTACTATTATGTGACACTGATTGGCTACAGAGCTCCTGGGAGCTGTCTGTCTCAGCTGGTAGAACAGATGCAGGCCGTCATGTCTCGCTCTTTATATGGGCTCTGGAAATCTGAACCGAGGTCCTCATACTTGCAAACTCCCCAGCCTGTCTGGTTTTAGAGAGAGGGTAAGTCAAGCCTGGCCTAGAATTTGTGCTTCAGCCTCTGCAGTGGGGAGAGGGGACGGTGGCCGGCGTGTTACAAGAGCAAGTTCAGCTTTTGCAGATAATACTCAAACAATACATCAAATCATAAAAGACAAAATGAACAAAAAAACTAGAAGAAACTATATAACTTGACCAACCTTAGAAATAATAAGTAAAAAGTGAAATCATTTCAAAATGAAAATTAAACCATAAGACACCCAAAGAAAACCAGATTCAACAAGACATTTAATAAAGAGTACTAAGAAAGGGTATAAAGCATCCAAAAGAATGCAAATAAAATACAAAGAATTGGTATGGGGAGAGCCGAGGTTGGGTCTGGCAGGACTCACGTACTACTTGACTGGGAGGGTCTACTCCATGCAAGGAGCAGACAGGTGCAGGGAGATCGAAAGTACAAGAACCTTACAGAACACCAAATAGACTGGGCCAGGAAAAGAAGTCTCCTTGCCACATAAAACATCAGTCCTACAGAATAAAGAGAAAATATTAAGAGCAGCTAAGGGAAAAGGCCAAATAACATATAAAGGCAGACCTATCCAAATTACACCCGACTTCTCAATGGAAACTATAAAAGCCTGAAAATCCTGGACAGATGTCCTACAAATGCTAAGGGAAAAAAGGATGCCAGCCCAGACTACTGTACCCAGCAAAGCTTTCAATTACCATAGATGGAAAAACAAGATACTCCATGACAAAACCAGATATAAACAACATGTATCCACAAATCTAGCCCTACAGAAAGTACTGGAAGGAAAACTTCAACCCAACAAAGATAACTACACTCACAAAAACATAGGCAATAGATAATCCTACTTTACCAAACACCAAAAGAAAAAAGGGGGGGCATACACACACAATAATACCACCAACAATAAATCTAAAACAAACAAGAATCAGCAGTCAATGGTCATTAATATCCCTCAATATCAACAGTCTCAGCATGCCTATAAAAAGACACAGGCTAAAAGAAAAAATACAGCCGGGCGGTGGTAGCACACGCCTTTAATCCCAGCACTCGGGAGGCAGAGGCAGGCAGATCTCTGTGAGTTCGAGGCAAGGCTGGACCGACAGCCTCCAAAACAATACAGAGAGACCCTGTCTCAAAAAACCAAAAAAAAAAAGATACAAAGACAGAACCCATCCTTCTGCTGCATACAAGAAACACATCTCAACATCAAAAACAGACGTTACCTCAGAGTAAAGGGTTGGGAAAAGATTTTTCAATCAAACAGAACCAAGAAACAAGCTGGTGTACCAATCCTAACATCCAACAAATTAGACATCAAATTAAAATCAATCAAAAGAGATGAAGAAGAACATTTCATATTCATCACAGGAAAAGTCCATTAAGATGAAGTCTCGATTCTGAACATCTATGCCCCAAATACAAAGGCACCCACATTTGTAAAAGAAACATTACTAAAGCTCAAATCCACATAAAATCTCACACACTAGTAGTAGAAGACTTCAACACTCTGCTCTCACCACTAGACAGGACCTCCAGACAGAAACTTAACAAAGAAACAATAGAACTAACAGAAGTTATGACCCAATTGGGATGAACAGACATCTACAGAACATTCCATCCAAACACAAAAGAATATACATACTTCTCAGCTTCACATGGAACATTCTCAAAAATCGACCACATTATTGGAAACATAGCAAACAGATTTTTAAAAAATTGGAATAACCCCCTGTATCTTATCAGACCACCATGCTTTAAAATTAGAATTTAACAACAGATACCCACAGCTAAACACTGAAATGAACTCCTGAAACCTAGTGACAGAGATGGAGGAGTGATGAGCAAAGGGGTCAAGACCATGATGGTGAAACCCACAAAGATAGCAGACCGGATAAGGGGGAGTTCTTGAATCCCAGACTGATGCCTGAGAGGCCAGCAGGGGACTGATCCAGACTCCATGAATGTAGTGCCAGTGAGGAGGCCACAGAAATCACTGGGGCCTTGGGTAGTAGATCAGTGTTTACCATGGTTTATGAATGATCTTTGGGAGCCCATTCCAAATAGAGGAATGCTCTCTCAGGCTGGACACATGGGGAAGGGCCTAGGTCCTGCCCTGGATAAAATGACAGACTTTAGAGATCCCCCCAAGGAGAGCCCCACCCTCCCTGGGGAACGATGTGGGGATTGGGTGAGGAGTTGGGGGGCTGGTGGAATGACAAGGGAGAGGGAGCTGGGATTGACATGTGAAGCATTCATGTTTCTAATTTAAATAAAAACATTACAAAAAACAAAATAAAAAAGAATTTAACAACAAAACAAATCGCAGAAACCCTACAAATTCATGGAAATTGAACAATGTGCAATTGCGCCATCCCTGGGTCAAGGAAGAAATAAAAAAAGAAATTAAAGACTTCCTGAAATTCAATGAGAATGAAGACACAACATACCCAAACCTATGGAACACTTTGAAAGCAGTGCTATGAGGGAAGTTCATAGCACTATGTGCCCACGTGAAGAAACTGAAGAATAGTCTGTTTCAGCACAACTGAAAGC